CCCATGGGGCCAGGATCAAAGCACTGGGTGTGGGTACAGAGGTAACTGGGACTCCGCATGCATGGCTGGGAACAGAGCCCTGGGCACAAGTCCTGCAGCGAGGACTTCAGGTGCGGGACCAGGAGTGGAGTCCAGGCCGAAATCAATAGTGGCAGGGGTGGGATGGAGGGCAGGACTAGCTCCCACAGCCATGTTTTGTGAGGTGCAGCTACCACACCCTTGGTACAGTTATGTCCAGCATCAAACTCAGATTTCAGTATGAACCATGGCACCTCACAGGAGCACTCAGCTCCATGCTAGACAGAGCCCTTTATCACCTTCTCCCCACTGCAGCTGCTGGGGTGAGATTCACCTGTGTTCCAGGAACCCTGGAGAGCAGGGTACTAAGGACCACGTCCCTAAGCAGAATGTAGATGAAGTGGAGGGTATTTTACTTTGGTGTTAGATGGCGGCTGAAAGCACAAAGCACAATTCAGAAAGTAAATAAGGATGCACTATTTACTCCTTCAGATAATACGAGAACCAGGGATTGCTCAAGGAAACTAATAGGCAGCAGGTTTTAAAGGAAACAAGCAGAGGCACCTCTTCAAACAATGCACAACCTGTCCAGCTCCTTGCCAAGTGATGCTGTGAAGGCCAAAACTATAGCTGGTTTTAAAAAAGTGTTAGATAAGGGCATAGAGAATAAGCCCATCAATGGCTATTAGCCAAGAGGGTCAGGGATGCAACCATATGATCGGGGTGTCCTTAAATCTGTGTCAGAAGCTGGGACTGGGGGACATGATGGATCACTCAAAACTGCCCCATTTGGGCTAGATCGGGGTGAACAATACTTTTTGATGGGGTCACTCCAAGAATTTGGAAAGTGGTCGAGGGCCACATTCTTCCAGGATATTAATGGAGAAGGTGCGGGGTCTGGGATGGAGGCTGGGTGCAGAAGGGAGCTTGGGGCAAGGGAGGGAGTTTGGGACTATGAGCTGGGGCAGGGGATTGGGGTGCTGGATCTGAAAGGGGATATGGGTACGGGGGGCAGAGAATTTGGGTACATGGAGTAGGGGGTAGGAATGGGAGGCAGAGGGCTGGGGAAAGGAGAGACTGGGGTGCCAGAGGCAGGCTCTGGCCAGGAGACTTACCAGCCAGCAGTCACTCATGAATCAGGATCCCTGCCTGTCCCACCCCCGCACACGCTGCAGCCATGTGTTCTGGAGCACCTTGTGCTTCGTGGCTGCCTGTTATTGAAACAGGCAGCTTTCACTGGCCAGTTTCTAGCCAGAAACTGGCCAATGGGATTGTGCTGGGGGCGGGAGCAGCTCCTAAAGCTTCCCTCCTCCCCTCCAGACTCAGTTTTTAAAAGAAAATACGCCCTGCAGCCCTGTTACTGAGTGTCTGCGGGCTAGATCTGGTGGCTTAATGAGCCGGATCTGGCCCATGGGCCGTATTTTGCCCAGGCCTGGGCTAGATGGAACTTTAGTCTAAACCAATATGGCCATTCTTATATTCATGTTGGTATTGCCCCTACACCTGAGAAAACTGGAGCACGGCCCTGAAACAGGCTGAACAGCAAGAAGACATGCATGGTGGGCATTAATGAGCCTGCAGGCTTATCCACAGGAATTGGGGCATTGGATTTTGATGTCCTGACAGTTGTCTAGGGGCCTCCCAGTTCCAGAAGATGGTGATCTACTCCTGTGCATCGCTGCAATGGTTAGACCCTGCTGTGGCTGGAGATTGCTTCTTGCATGCTATTCTCACTCCTCTCTCTTTATCCCATGGATACTCTCTACAAGGCTGGGGAGGAAAATAGGGGCAGACCTCTGCCAGAAACCTCACTTTCTCAGATCTGTGCAGAAATACAAAGTACATTAATACAGAGTCTATAGTCAGCTCTGGCTTTACCTGATCTACCAGCTCATACCCCGCAGTGAGGACAGTGACACAAGAATCATATGTAAACTCACTGTTGACCTTTTTTCAGTTCAATAATGTATCTATATTGTACTTTCAGCTGTAAGTTTCTCTCCTCTACTGAAAACAGACCATTTCTTACACATCTGTGCTCTCCCCCTTAAGCAGGTTCTTATCCAGAATAAAATGTTCTCTCTCAGCCCAATTCTTCCTTCCCGTCCTGAAGAGCCTCATGCCAGGGACTTCAGCAAAGAGGATTTGAAAAGTTTAAGAAATGATACCAACTGCAGTTCTCCAAGACAATGCTGACTCCCACACAGAATTCTAGCAACTTAGAGGAGGCATATTTTTCTAGCATAGAAGACGGGCTAGTTCACTGACATATCAGACTCAGCGAAGTATTTTATACCTACCTTTAATTGTTTTTCAGCTAATGTCCCAGTGACTGGAGCAATATTCATGGGTCTGTAATCAACCTTAGCAATAAAAAAAATAATCAGATTGACACTGGCTGAGTTCTAGATCTCTGCTGGAACAGCTGATTTCAATGGTAAAATCATGTGAGCCTGATTCTGTGCGGTGCAGCCCAGAGGCAGAAGAGAAAAGATCGCTTTTATGTCAGAATTTTGGAAGCAGCCCCAGCATATAGCAGAGCAGCCCTGGGACTGTTTTAATTTATGGCAGCCTCATGTAGGTTGCCTATGAACTGCTCTGCAGCCCAGCATCCATGGCAGTATGCACTATGGACATATATCCTACTGCTCTCAGCACACCGCCTGCACCAGGGCTAGTAAAGAGTTCTCTGAACTGTAACAGAGGGATTCTTTCCTCATCCCAGGGCACCTGTACAGCCTTTATTCAATGGCAGAGCAGTGTGTGGGGAGAATCTCTCCTTGTATTTCTGCCAGCAGTTCATCCACTTAATTATTGAGTTCTTAGTTCTAAGGTTAATCGTCCCATCCCGGTGACTCATTGGAATTCAAGCTATCAATTCAGGTAACACCTCAGCCCCTGGTACTGTCACCCCTGTTACACCTGCAAAGGGAAACTCTAGGGCTAACATCTCCCTATTATTCTTTGTGACAAGAGATGCAAAGATTCCCTTAGTCTCCTTAACTGCTCTCGTGCTTTTAAGGCCAGGTCTACACTAGCAAAGAAAATTGATGCAAGATATGCAACTCCAGCTACATTGATTGCATAGCTGGAGTCAACATGCCTTGCACTCATTTTCTGGGGCAGCCCTACAGCCAGAGGTCGACAGGAGAAACACTCCCATTGACTTCCCTTACTCCTTGTGAGAAGTACCGCAGTCGATGCGGGCACCCTCAGCATTCAATTTAGCAGGTCTTTACTAGACCCACTAAATTGAACCCCAGAAGACAGATTGCCAGAGTGTTGATCCTCTGGTAAGTGGAGACAAGGCCTCGGTGTTTCAATAATGAATCTGCCATTTTCCACAAAAGATTCTACAAGATTCCACCCCCCATTAATAATTCAAAATGTTTTGTCCACATTTGCCTTGTTATTCCTGTCTGGCAGCTCCACCTCTGACTATGGTGTTTATATCCATCAAGGTACTCAATGAAAATCAGTTTGCCCCAGGTCAGAATGCCCACTATAATGGACTGCATGTGAAGACTCTACTTACGTTGATGTGGGCATAACCAGGAGAGTATTACAGTTGTAAGAAGCGGACGTAGTTGACTTCAGTGTCATTAAGATATTTATTGATAACAGTTAAAATACTTGGTAGGCACCACACATTTATATAAAATATATGTATTTGAAAACTGAATGCACAAAGTTTAATTTCTTTGTGTCAGAAAATGTGGCTTAGCTTCTTCCCCTCCTTGAAAGTCCCCTTGTGCAGACAGTCATGGAACAGAGATGGCGGGGAGCACTTTTCCTGAACATTGGCCAAATCCCACTCGGTACCCATTTCCCTGGCAGTGACCTGGAGTGGGGAGAGGAAGAGAGTCATACAAGAGGCACCTAGCGGATTTTTACAGGAAGCAAAAAACAAACCAAAAAATAGTAGACACATGAAGGGAACGAAATGAATGTCTATACTCCGATGGCAGCCTAGCTCCTTAGCTGTGTTCAACTGGGGTGATCCCAACCCACCTGGCCCAAAGTTTCCCATTGACATCGAGGGGCTTTTGATCAGGCCCCAATATGCACTGGATACTGCTGAGCAAAGGGGGGTGTATGGCAGTAGTTGGTCCCTGAACCTGCAGCCAACTCTATGCAGGCATGGTCCTTGGCATAGTTTAGGAGAATCCTCAGGTTGTCAATGGGGAAGGCTACAATTAAAAATAAAAACCCACCCAAAACCAATGGTCAAATCCTCAACTTGTATAAATTGGAGTAGCCCACTAAACTGGCCCAGCTTCATTGATACCAGATGAGAACCTGGCCAGAGATGCCCAACTATGCTCCATTATATAAACAATGAACATCTACAGCTGCTGCTAACGTTACTGGTCATGGATTAAATCTGTAGCTACAGAACAACTGGGCCTCTCGGTGCTCATGCATGTGGCGAGAGTTGACATTCTGACTGACTGTCCCACATATAAAGTCCACAGTCCTGGGGAACATGGGTGCTGCAAGGCCTATGTTAGAACTGGCACACTCTGCCATGTCCTGTATTCAGCCATTTGTTTAGCTTGCAGAGAAATCAGGCAAGGAAACTCAGCTATAAGCGTTTCATCCCATGTGTGTCAGATATGCCTGGAAAAAAAAAAAACCACTCAGGTGAAACCACAGACAATGACCAGAGACCTCTGCTGGCAATGGAGCCCCTTACGCAGGAATTTCTGTGGATGGGTGCAAGCCATAGCAGGGACTGGTGGCTGCCCACTCCTGCTACAGTGGCCCAGCCTTGCCCCCAGCCTGGGGGATAAGAGGTGTGTAAATCTTCCCCTGGCTGGACAGAGCACAGAGAAGGGAGGCTTGTGCAGCGCGCCGTCCCAGCCTTTCCCCAGCCAGCCAGAGCATGGGGGAGGGAGGCTGGGGTAACACGCTACCCCACCCTTACACTTATTTGGGGGACTGTGGGAGGGGTGCACTCGCCCCCTTCACACACCCCGGCATACAGGCCTGCAATGTTTAGTGACGGGAGAGAGACGGGAGAGGTAACATGTCCTGTGAACAGGCTGTTTTAAGGAGCAATTTCATTGTCAAAAGATGGATTCTTCAAGAATAACGGAAGCTACACTGTTCCCTGCACGTAACAACATGGTTCCAGTGACTCACCCGTCCCTCCATTTCTATTAGTAGAGAGGATGTTAATGATATCTGTACAGTTTTACTGAGGCCTTGTCTTCATGGCAGTGTCAGCTCAAAATACAACTCAACCCATCCTAACTCCTGTCCAAAAAACTCTAGCTCGGGTAGCGTGATGCTTGAAATGCGAACTAGCTGGTCCACTGGGCAGGGAGTGGACTGAATCTTAGTGCTGCTGACAATTGCTGGGAATGGCTATGGGCTGCAACTCGTGTTTGTGCCACTCACCCGCTCTTCAATGTAAATAGGGCTTCCTCGAAAGAGAGCATCCAGACTCGCTGGGTGCTCTCTTTCGAAAAAGCGGATTGCTCTTTCGAAAGATCCGCCTGCAGTCTAGACGCGATCTTTCGAAAGAGGCTCTTTCGAAAGATGCTTTTGAAAGAGCCTCTTTCGAAAGAAGCCTGCAGTCTAGACATAGCCTAAGTGGACAGCAGAGGGACTGATGGGATGTTTGCAAACTTGGACCAAAAAAATCCCACAAGAACAAATGTTCTCACCAAATTTAGGCCATATCAGAAGCAGGGTCGGGGGAAAGGGGGAATTTCTGGGTCTGAATCTAACCTTCAACTAAAAACACAGGAGTTTGGTTTAGACCCAGCTATTTGAACTGGAACCCCGCGCCCCCCTTCCATATTCAAAACAGTTTAGCTTTAGGATTCTGGGCCTGGCTCTGGCAGCTAGGACAAATGGCTCAAGTGCATGTAGGCTTTGACTGAGAGTTTCAGAGATGCGCAAGACATTCAAATCCTCAGTGCTTTTTTTTTTTTTTTTTTTTTTTTTTTTAAGGTGCTGGTACTTCAGGAGAAAAGTTGTTGAGCTCTGACTGGGGGTGCTGGTACTGCATCTGGAGGTGCCGGTATTGCGTACCAGGCAGTACCATCACAAAAAAAGCACTGCAAATCCTACTGAAATTCAGCCAGCACTGGTTGTGATAACTGGGCCTAAAAGTGTATAAAGGTTATAATCAAGTGGTGTGGACAGAGCACCAGAATACTGGCGTCATCTCTGAACCCAGGCAAGGGGAATCCCATGTGCATCGATACCACAGTAACAGGTACCCCAAAACAGATACACACGGGGCTGCAAGAATCCTCTGCTTTATCTGGGAGCAATGAGGAGATAAATGAGCCATGCAGTTACTGGGCCAAAATAAACACAACAAAACAGACCCATAAAGCAAATACAGGAGGGGGCAGTACATCCCCTGGCCTTTATCTCCCAACAGCCAGCAAGGGGTCCTGTGACAGCTAGGAATTCACAGGTAGCCTGACTCCCACTAGAAATGCTATATATAGAACAACGAGGGGCTACACACTGTGGCATTAGGCCAGACCACATAGCGCCAAAAGAACACACCCAGAAGCCTTTGGTTGTTACCTGTTATAATGACTTCGTCCCCGTCCTGCAGAAATTTACGAAAATGTCCATTCCCAAGATCAATTACTTTTGTGCCCTTCCATGACATCTCCAGCATGGAGCCAAAGTTCTCCGGATCCTTCAAAGCGTAAGTTAGTAGCAGGATTATAAAGCCATTCCACATGTCTGTGCCACATTAACACCCTCTCCCCCGCACATTTCCCTGCTGCTGGGAGTGAGAACACAACTATGTTATTGGATTCTGGGCCTATTCCTGGAAAGCGGCCAGCAACAGTCATTGATCCAGTTCACCTATATTCTAGCATACTTGCCCGGGTCTTTGTTTTTAACTCATTACTGACTGGAGGCCACAATTGCCTAAAGCAATCTTTTCTTTGGTACCTCTAGCTTTAGTAAGTGGGCACTATAAGGAAAAACTGGATTCTGTTCAAGGAAACAGAGGGTATATGTCTACACTACAGTGTTATTTCAAAATATCTAATTTCGATATAGTTATTTCAAAATAGCTTATTTCAAAATAACGCATCTACACACAAAATGCATTTCGAAATAGCTTTTTGCTATTTCGAAATAACATGTCCACACTGAGTGGACGCTGAATCGCACTTAAGGCCAGCTGAAACGAGGTCCGGCAGGGCATCAGGACAGGAATTACTTAGCCTCAGGCAGCAGCCACACAATCTGAGGCCTGTGCTTAAAGGGACCCTCCTTGGACAGCCGGTTCTCAGGTTTCTCTGCTTGCTTGCCTACCTCGATGAGGGACAGCAAAGCATTTTGTCTCTCTGAGCTCTGGTTGCCCTCACTTGGGACACCACAGCACTCTGCAACATGGAGCCAGATATGAATTTCAAAATTGGTGTTATTCCTCGTGGAATGAGGTTTACCAATTTCAAAATAAGCCCTCCGCTATTTTGATTTAATTTTGAAATAACGGAATGGCTGTGTAGATGCTAGGATAGTTATTTCAAAATAACTTTGCTGTGTAGACATAACCTCAGATACTATCTCTGTCTCTCCAGAGTCTGTCGCTACATTTCAGAGTCCTATTCACATATCACTGTGCAGAGGGTTGCTAAATGCTGTGAAATGCTTAAAAGATTGTAATGTAAATCTGCAGCACGTTACATTAGAGAGAAGAAAATGCGCTTCACGTATATGTGTGTACCCGAGCAGCATGGTGTACGCGCTTTGTTACATTAGTAGGTAATGACCGATGGCAATGCATTAAGCGCTACATCCAGCTTCCATTGACCTTCCCTACTGGAAAGGCTCCCAATGACTTCACAGGCTATAGGACATGGGGGTATAAAATCTTACCTGTCATTTTTTATTTCAGACTGAGGAACCTGCTTCCCTCCCCCATCACACTTTTGTCCACCACTGGACACTGTCCAGCAATGTGCTGTTCAGGAGACAGAGTTCCATGAATCCCAAAAAATACATAGGAGAAAAGTGGGTTGCTGTTTTTGCTGCATCTACGTACAGTACAATACCAGTGCAGTATAAATGAAAACAATGGACTATGAAATTAGGGTCCTACAGAATTGAGAGACTTGGAAGGGTTAACACTTTGAAGAAGATTAATACTTCTATTGTCTAGAGCAGTGTTTCTCAAATTGTGCTCTGCGGAGCCCCACCCACATCTCCAGGGGCTCCGCAAGGTTGACAAACTGGAAACATCGATAGGTACAACACATACAATCACTTGACCGCTGGGGCTCTGCATAAATTTTTACGCATGTAAAGGGCTCCGGAGCCCAAAAGGTTTGAGAACCGCTGGTCTAGAGGCTTTCATCCAGAGATCTCAAGATATTGTTGCTCTGGGGGATGTTTTGAACAACAAGACAGTAGCTGTAAATCTCACAGCAGGTTTGGGCTGTGTGGATTAGGGCTGTGAATGGGTAACTGGTAAGCATCACCCTTAGTGGCCTGCTGCAGGCAGAGGGCTGCCCTAGCCCCAGAGTGCTGCCAGCTCCCAGTCCATGTCAGCTGGGAGTCAGCAGCCTCATTCAGGACCAGAAGTGGGGAGGGGAGGAGGGAGAGAGGAATGCCAATTCCCAGCTCACACAGGCTGGTTAACTAGTTACACAGGATTTTACAAACCTAACATGGATACTTTTGTGCAGGAATATTGTTGCTTCTAAAACACAACTGCTTTTAAGAAGAGGAAGGCTTAAGAAAATACACCATGCTAGTCTGTATCTGTAAAAACAACAGAGGAGTCCTGGGGTACCTTAAAGAGCAGATTTATTTAAGCATAAGCTTTCATGTGTAGGAACCACTTGGTCAGTTGCATGGACATGCGTAATATCGATGCATCTGACAAATTGATTTTTACCCACCGTACAAATCAACAATGGAAAATTAGACACCACTCTCTACAGAAAACCCACTGACTCATACAGTTACCTACATGCATCCAGCTCCCATCCAGAACACACCACACGATCCATCGTCTATAGCCAAGCCCTTCGATACAACCGCATCTGCTCTAACCCCACTGACAGAGACCAGAAGCTTCAGGATCTCTACCAAGCATTTATAAATCTCAACTACCCACCCAGAGAAACAAAAAAGCAAATTGAAAGAGCCAGACGAATACCTAGAAACCATCTACTTCAAGACAGACCCAAGAAAACCAACAATAGAACACCCCTTGTCATCACCTACAACCCCCAACTTAAACCGGTCCAACACATTATCAATAAACTACAGCCTATATTGGAACAGGATACCATACTCAAAGAGGCTCTGGGAGACAGACCCATAGTCTCCTATAGACAACCACCTAACCTCAAGATGATTCTTACCAACCACCACAGGACATACCACACTAATACCAACCCTGGTACCTTCCCTTGCAACAAACCCCGTTGCCAGCTTTGTCCACATATTCATTCTGCTGATACCATTATTGGACCTAACCAAGTGAGTTATAAGATCAAGAACACATATTCCTGCGCATCCAGAAATATAATCTACGCTATCATGTGCCGAAAGTGTCCGTCTGCTATGTACATTGGACAAACATCTCAGACACTTCGCCAAAGGATTAATGCCCACAAAACAGATATCAGACAAGATCACAAAGAGAAAACAGTTTCTTGCCACTTTAACCAGAAAGGACACTCTCTAAATGACTTAGCCACCTGCATTCTGCTACAAAGACCTTTTACATCTGCACTTGAAAGGGAATCCTCTGAACTGTCATTCATGTTAAAATTCGACACTTACCAACAAGGACTTAACAAGTCTTTGAACTTTCTCACCCATTACCAAGACAGTTTCCCCAATTATCACCTGTAATACCATTAACTCACAAACATCCCACTCTCCCTACCTTTAATATCAGCAATTCACAGACACTTACCTTCCTTCCTCCCCCTTCCCACCCCCCTGCATCCCCCTTCTGTTCTGCAATGTGATTTGTCCTTTTCATATTTGTTCATTTTTTTAAATTGTATCCTTTGGTATATATGGTTGTGACTACTTTCTTCCACTATTTGATCTGAGGAAGTGGGTCTGGCCCACGAAAGCTCATCATCTAATAAACCATCTTGTTAGTCTTTAAAGTGCTACATTGTCCTGCATTTTGCTTCTCTCTGTTAAGGTATGTACTTCAAAAAGACTGAGGAAGGACTACAAAGATGTCCCCTAATAAAACAAAGTGGCTTTAAGATCAAGGTCACATCTGATGAGTTTCTAGTGGCTGAGTAATTAGTTAGTAATGATCACTGTTAATTAAGTGCTTACAGGTCCACTGATTGTTCCAGATGCCAGGAGATCTCCAGGTCTGAGGTTGCATCCATTAACAGAGTGGTGAGCCACCTGCTGTTTCATGGTCCAGTACATATACTAGGGAATGGGAGAAAGTGAAGCACAGACATGACTCTCAGATGTCACTACTCTGTACAAAATGGATTTCATTCTCTGAATTATACTGTTAAAAATTAGCCTCCAGGAACAACGTCCTTATCTAATCAGGAGCCTTCAGCAGCCTCCATGGAATATTTGTAATTACTTAAAATTGATCCTGTGGCATTGATTGGTCTGCAGATGAATGGCCTTATACAAATAGCTTATACGTGAAGAGGTGAGAAGCAACGATTGCAACTTGGCTCTCTCAACACACGGCATGTTAATGCACCAGCTCCATAGACAATTGGCTCCGTTCAAAGCCCAGTGGAATCAATGAGAATTTTTCCACCAACATTTCCCCTGAATGTTTGCTTGTCCCAGATGCCCACAGAATCCTGTGTAGAAGGATTTTAACACTTGATGATGTGATATTAATGTTGGGGTTAATGGCAATTTGCAGCAACCAGGTTCTGCGCAACATAACAAGTCAACCAGTCATAATAACTTTAAATGGGTAAAAGAGAGAAGTTGTGCAGGTACCTGGCAATACAACAGCCATCATCAATCATGTTATTCATATGAATTTCAAGGGAAAGATCTTCTTTGATACGGACTTGCTAGCCTAGTGAGGAGGGTTTTAAATACACTTCAAAGGAGGCGGATGAGACATGCCCAAGAATAAGTATAAAAAAGAGATAGTGACCATAACGGAAGGCTAGAGGTTGGCCTTAGGGATACATCTACATGCAATCAAAGACATGGGTTTGATCTGGGTCCGCTGATTTGGGCTTGCAGGGCTATTCAATTATATGTAGATGTTCAGACAAGGCATGGACCCATCCTCTGTGACCATGCTCCTTTACATGGTCTTCGACCTTCTTGAGATAGGTCCACATTGCAATTTTACAGCCATTCCGCCTGAGTCAGTGGAGCCAGGCCATCCTCAGGTCTTTTATTACGATGTAGACCTATCTTAAGAAGGCTAGAGGGATGGGGGTGGGGCATGGAAAATTACAATAAGGACATAGGCACAACAAGGGGGGAAATGATAGGGGAATCTGCTCCATACATTATAGGTCTATACACATGCACAAGGAGTGTAGTGAACACAGGAAGGATTGGAAGGCTGAATACACAAGCTAAATTATGACTTAATGAGCTTAATAGAGTTGGTGGGATAAATCTCATAACTGGAATATTGGTATAGAGGGGAACAACTTGTTCAGGAAGGACAGGCAGATGAAAACAGGATAAGGGGTTGCTTTATACAGCTAGAGCGTACACACTTGTTTTGAGGTCCAGAAAGAAATGAAAGGCAGATCAAAGACTCGGAGAAGATGAAAGGCGAAAGCAACAGGGGTAATGGTGTGGTACTGGTCAAATATAGACTATCAAATCAAGAGGAGGTGGATGAGATGTTTCTGGAACAATAGACATATCCAAAACACAAGACCTGAAAGCAGTGGGAGACTAACTTCCCAGACATCTGGGAACACAGGAGCTGGGCTTGCTCAGTCCCAGCTCGTACCGGGTTCAGCAACTCTTGTCCATGGGGGGGTGGGGTCCCACCAGGGAGTGGAGACGCCCTGCAGATAGGGCTGCTGCCAGAGCAGCCTCTGCCCATGGCCAGCCTGGGCCGCCACAAACAGGGATTGCTGATAGAGCAGCCTTGGCCCGCCACGGGCAGAGACTACTTGCAGTAGCCTTCCCCCCTGCTACTTCTGATAGAAGCAGCAGTGTGGGGGAAGGTGGCGGCACCGCGGAGACATTGCTGGGGGACCAGCTTTTAACTTTCTACTGGAATGGGACCCAATGTGTTAATTTCATTAATTTAAAATGATCCTAAACCAAACTCTTACCTTAAAGTTTGACTTGCATATTGTGGCTGGGTTGCTCATTCTTTCTCCTAAAGGGAGCAAAAGAAGCAATCAATGGGAAAATGTCACTAAATGAAGACATCTGTGGCGCTGTCATTTTGTGGTTGGACAAAGCTTCTGTTACCATGTTCAGGGGCAGTAGACAAGAAGAAATAACATACTCTCGGTATGAAGGGCTACAAGGGGAGAAAGTTTCTATCCCCTGCTCTGTCACAGACTTCTGGTATGACTCTGACTTGACCTCTGCTTCCCTCACCATGAAATAGAGATATTATTTTCCTATCTTATTGGGGAATTGTGAGACTTATTTCATACAAATGGCAGGAACTACAGAAATATACAGTACTATTTAACGGAAAATATACTTTGCTATTTTCGTTTGCATGATACTTTACCTTCAACACGATTCTAGCTTAAGTCCTTACACAGGACAGTATTCACATTTTACAATGACACAGGGAGACTAAATGACATGCCCAAGGTCATACAGAGAATCTGTGGCATAGCAAGAAGTTGCCTCTGTGACTCTATAAAAGGGTGGGAAACCTTTGGGTTGGGAAAACCCCCAAACCCACAGAAAAAAAACTGTCGGGGGCCACACACAAGTGAGAAACAAAAAAGAAAAAAAGAAAAAAAATACAAACAAACACAAACCGCCATACAAATCCTCACTGATGTGGCCCCAACTGAAGAGAAGACACTTCCCACATTTCCCTTATGCACCATAGACTAGTGGGGCCCAGGTTTGTAGATTTTGTGTGCTCCTATCCCACAAGGATGGCAGGGGGAAAAAAAGGGGCTGGGGATGGAGGGAAGGGCGTTGAGCCTCAGCAGCTGGATTCAGACCTTAGGTTCTCCACCCTTTCTCTACAGTCTCAAGGTAGTGTCCTAATCATTGACCCAACCTTCCTCTGTTTTTCTCTGATTCACTACATCAGACTTGTGCTGCATCATCGCAAGAGGCCATGAATTGCACCCATGAAGGGGACTTGTTGGAGGACTGAAAGATGAGAGATGGAAGACATACAATCTCTTGTACCCTTCCCCTTCTTTGCTGGCCTGCTCTACCTGGTGTTATGGTGCTGAGCTCCTCTTCTACTAACACACATGGAACAGCAGGGCCATGGTAGTCCCACACGTGAAGCATAGCATGTTCTGAGCCCTATACTCATTTCAGGACATCACTGGGACTTGTGAAGTAAGGTAGGTCAGTCAACTTTCACCCCTAGGGAAGCACACATTCTTAGTACTGTTTCCCTGGTCTTCACTCTCTCTGTTCCTTCTGATTATTAGTTACCAGCCAATTATCGCACCTTGTTTTAATTAGACTGCAAAGACACTGGAATTGGAACGGTGTCTTTTACTCTATATGTTTCCATAAGAGCGCCAGCACAATGGAGCTCTGAGCCCGACCGGGCGTTTAAGAGCTGTCAGAATTAAAAAAACAAACTATAATAATTCTTCAGATGGTAAAATGGCCATATGCAGCCACCAGAACAGGAATGTTCCCCAAAGTAAAGCACTGCACTAACGAGGAGGCACAGAATGAGCTTTTTTTTTTTTTTTTACTTTCCTCTGACTCAGCAAGTACCAGCTTACGCAGATATCAGGAACCCAGAACTGACTGAACAAATGTCTGAAGCACATGGCAGATTTAACATCACTTTACTTGACCTCCACGCTCTTCATCACAGAGGTATGGCAGTGGTTTGGGAACCTAAAGGCATACAATATGTATTATTGCCTGGAGGCCAAAAGAAAAAGAGACCAGCACGCACCTCGGACATTTTGTAACCGCTCTCTTCACAAGGCTCTGGTGAATAGCCATCTGTCCCTTTTTCAAGGCACACATTTTTTTCCATTCCTTTTGTCATCATGAACAATTGCCTAAGAAGCGACTACTTCACATAAATGATTATGTCACCAATGTTTACTTCACTACTACTAAGGCATTCATTTAATCAAATGCACTTTTTCTTGTGGCCTTCAAAAGACCTCTCGATTATTCACATGGATATTAAATCCAAACAAATGTAACTTTAGCGCACCCTTGTCCTGATTATACTGTTAACTCAAAGCTTGCAGAAGACTTGCAGTTTCAGACCTAAGTAGTTTAGCTGGCACATGGAGATGACGACCTGTAAACTCTCTTCCCTGTATTACTAGCTTGTAACAGTCTAATTAAATGGCTACATACCATAAAATCAAATATCCTCAAACTATGGGCAGCTTTGACTATTGATCAGAACCTTTCAGCTTGAGTCCACAGTCTCTACCACTTACTGTAAGCACTCAAAAGTGTTACCAAACGCTAAAGAGAAGCTTGCCAATTAGTATCGTTTCTATGCACAGATGTTTAAGAGAGATATTTTTCTTGACCAGCTCAGGTTTGCAGATGGTTTTCAAAGCTATGCAGCCATACACACTGTGATGACTGAAAACCTGGCCTCACAGAAGTCGATGGGTGTTTTCCCATTAATTTTAAAGGGGCCAGGATATTACCCCACATCTTGGATGTGGGATCAAGCCTTGAAGTCAGTAGAAAGGTGCTGGTACAACCAAGCATTTCTGTTCTTGAAACTTAGATTTCACTCAAATCATTTCTAATGACCCAGCTGTTCTCTTGCTAACCTGGACGGGGTTTGGCAACACAAAAGGCATGAGAGCTTCCATAGTAACAACCCACGGAGAGATGGTTGTGCCAAAACTCTTGCCCAGAAATGGACCGAGAGGAACATATTCCCACTTCTGAATGTCACGAGCTGGAAAAAAGGAAAGTCAAATCTAATGAAATCTAATGAAACATTTTCAGAGAGTTGCATGGACTTCAGGCCTGTGACTGAACACCAGATGAAGAGCTCTGCAGTCCAACAGCTTACACTATCCATGGAACAAGCAATGAAATACCACTTGCTTGCCCAGAATAGCTCAGCCATGACATAAAGCAGTCATCTGAAGGGCTCAGAAGCACAATTCAAAGTCCTCTGGGTAGGTCTAGATTAGGAAGAGCAGCCAGCTTTAGATAGGGGCTAGTTAACACATTAAATCCAGCTTCACCATTATTTTCCCTTGCCTAGACACTGGTTAACATCTTTTATTTCCATTCAACTGGTTGAAATCAATCTTAGGGTCCCCCTTGATTAGCTAAACGGAGCTAAAACGTGTTCCATAGTGAAAACACAATGAACACGCTGGAATCACAACCTCTTTCCCCCCTCAGCTACAGAGGCCCTTTGCTGAGGTGATGGTTTATGTCATGTCCATGGCAAGCAGGATTAAGACCGAAATCAGCTCATGTCATGTAGATAGCTAGACAATCTGCACTAGCAGGAGCTCTTAGTCAATACAGACCTGAGCAGGATTTGAATCAAAGCCTGACAGTTGCAGACTATTCCACTCCTGCTACTGTTGCCCAACAGGGTCCTGACTAAGTGTAAAACCAAACACACTAGCTGTCAATATTCTGAGCATTATGTACATGCATTTCCCCAGGGAGGCAGAGGAACACTTATTACCACTCCAGTCATTCATAAGGACCATTCCAAAAATGTGCTCATGAGCTCTGTTGACTGGGATAGGCTCCCCAAACTTGTTCCCGGGGCCCACAAAGAAAGCCTGTAAGAGAGAAGTACACACTTTAACCAAGTCAAAGATCTGAAAATCATGCCTGTGGTTATGCCAAGACAAATCTCCTGCAAGAAGTACTATTAAAGGTGAGGGCTGATGAGGCAGATAGGGTAGAATGGGATTTTATTTGCTTTCTTCTAACTTTCATTGGACTTTCCCTGTGCAAGATGAAACAAGAATTACAGCTTTTTTCTCCCTCCTTCCTTAGCGAGAGGGCAGCATTGAACCACTTGAACAGTAATGAGCTGAGAAGTATTGGTCATTAACTCAGCACCTGAAATTACTGAAGAATAATTCACTTTTGCAGTCCAGAAGAAAAAAGCTCCATTCAAGTTGGGGACAGAACGATAGGGCTTTTTACCCAGTTAAACAACCACTTTCTTTCTACACACTGCAGCAAAGGGCATGATTATTGTAAAGTAACCAATTAGGGGAGTCTTGCAAAGGTTCTGACCTGGCTGCAGCCTATCAGAACAAAAAGTGGAGGCTGGGAGAGTGTTCCACTGTATAAAAGGAAAGACAGAAGCAGGGGGCATGCTCTTATTCTTTCAGCATCCAGATTTTCTGGCCAGTAGATGAGATCTCAAACAGAACAGCTATTTTTTAGTAAGCGTGGTTGCGATTTCTTATAATTATACAGGATTAGTCTAAACCAAATCCTGTAGAAGTCAGTGATAAAGGTCCCATTGTGGCACATAGTTAGACCTGCACTGAAAACTATATACTCCTACTTTTCATCTCTAATGGAGGTTTCGACACGCTCTTTTAGCTCAGTTTCAGGAACATTTTCTGACTGATTTCCTATCTCCATGCACCCTTACTGTGTTTGTGGCTATGAATAGTTTAACCATGTTAAGAGCAGAATGCAAACAAAACAAATGGCTGTTCTTTTGGACTGCACTGTATTGCAAGAGAACGAGCTTCTTAAGACCTGTTATTACAGCTGGGAGTAATGGGCAGATCAGCTGGATTACTGGAGAAGCAAGCAGGCATTTGAATGGCAGCCCAGAACCTTTGGATCCCTTTATTTTCATAATGCACAGCTAGTGTGCATGGTCACAAGTGTTAGGCATTGAAGGATTTACTCTGCATCACGAAGGTGAGTGTTGAATACACATGGGTTTGGGATGTCTGGGACAATAGCTCAGCTGCTTGCACATGTATTCCATGGACTTTGAAATTGACAGGCTAGATATAAGTAACACAAATGGAGAAAGTTGTATGTTTAGACATTGTTTTATGAAGCCAGATGTTTTTATTCTTCCTCTGTTTCACCCCACACAGACACACCGTTAAATCCCATTCTGGTAGGGAACCAAAGGGCATTCTCATTTAAGTTGCAGCTGTTACATGCTCAGAGCTATAGCTAATACAGCAAGAAATATGATCAAGTCCCACTATACAGAGGACCTAAGTTCCTGAAAGAGAACCTTAGTTATGCAGAAAACTGTGATTCCTTTTTCCTAAGCAATGGTTCTTCCCCCTCTTCTCTCCACCCCCATCACCTCTTCTTATAAGCTTTGAAACTATATAGCTAATTATGTTATCTGCTTAGAGGCAGACTAAGGGGCATGCCATGGGCTAACAGAAAATATACTGGGTATTTCCTACAAGAGTCTAATTAAAATACACTCTCTCTGAGTCCCCATTATGGAGCTGCTGCCTTTCATACCTCTTGCATTGGAATGACACTGGAAAGAAGCTGGTCTAGAATTGCTTTACTCATGCAGTTCTTAAGCATTGCATTCTCTCCTTTGAACCAGTTTCTGCAGCAGGCAATATCCTGGGAGGTGGTGCTATAAGAAAGGCAGCTGTATATAACCTATATCACATTATATTTTTATAATGGGCTCAGGTTTTTACACTCTTTTACTAAAGGGAAAGCTATGTAACACGATAAATAATCCTACCATTTCTAATTCAATGTCCAAAAGTTGGCAAGCCCCGAACACTGGAGGTTTAGCTGTGAATTAGACAGAAAGACATTATGAAGTTACAACAGAAAAGCAATGAAGCTAGAGAAGACAAGAGACAGCCAAACATATCCCAAGGCCACACTGCTTGCTAAGGAGAACAATGCATTTCAGGGGCTCACCATCATCAGGTCGCATCTGCCCCACCGGTCTTCGAATTGGCGTCCCAGACACCACAACGGAGGATGCACGGCCATGATAACCGACGGGTAAGTGTAACCTTGTTAAAGCAAAGCATTGGTTGTGTGTTACATGCTGCATTACAGTCACCAGAACCATGCACTGCAGAAGCAGCAAGCACTACCCTAAGTTCCAAAGTTTCAGTGTTGTCAAACCACAATAGAGTACAATTTTCCTTTAAATGGCACCACCTTTTTAGGCTTCCAGATTGAGTTACTGAAACTTAATCCTCTGTTTCTTGCTATATGAGAAGAGAGCTGCTACTGACTCCCAGCAGTCACCTCTTTCTGCTACACAGCTCAGATGTAGTGGAGAATGGAGAAATGGGGTTTCAGACACTGGGGGACAGAATCAGAACTGATACACCTCGTCATAACTCCACAGTGGAGCCAACATAAACAAATTGTACATCTGTCCTTAGGTGCTTATTTTCCCATAAGGTCAGAGAGGCCTTTGCAAAAATGTGTACAACACAAAGTCACGCATGAAAACAAAGAACTGGATTACAAACCAGTTAGGCATCAAAGCATTCTCCTTGCCTCTGAACATGATCCCAACATTTGTAGCATGTTCCCTTGAAGAATAGAAATCAGTGTAGTCTCCTGGGGAAAAGAAATCACAAGATGTAGATCAACTATATGATAGACCCTGCTCTGGTATGGTGAAAGAGCATCAATTTTCCATATTTTGTGGCCCCCAAAATGATGGGGAAGGAGGGAAAGAAGTGTAGAGGAGTTTGGAAACAGTCACAAGACTATAATAATCATGAAGATAGTCTATAAAAGGGGATCGCTGCCTGCTGCAAAACTGTTTGTGTTTTTACACCTGCTGCGCTTCTATTCATTAGCTACAAATGTAAGAACAAGCCACATGTTTTGTAAAATTTAACCATTTTCTATTGTCATTTGCATTTTGCTGATGCTATTGAGAATGCTGTACTGCACACAGCGGAAAGGATTTTATAAACAGTTTATCTACTGCCCTCTGGTGCACTTTCTAAGCAATTGTTTAACTCACAATTAACTTAGTGGTTTTGAAGGAATTCAAAAGGTAGGCAGTGAGAGTGGAAAATATATATATATAAAAAAGTAAGATTTTCTGCCCTTTCCTATCTCCACCCATATCACACATGGCTTCAGGTCCTCGGTCTAATACCAATTCCAGAGTCACTGACAAGACACCAGTGTTGCCAATTTAAAATACTATTTTGTTAAAGTCCTAGCTCCTGGAGTCAGGTGATGTGAGAATCTCAGCTTTCATTTAAAGAAAAATGGCTTCCCTTTATATTTGCAGAAAAAAAACCTTAAAATTGATTCACGTGCACCCTAATGGCTCAAACCCCAGGAAACTAAAACTGACCACCACCACAGGTGTTTTTTTTTAATTTAAATCCCATGATTTCTGGTGTCTGACCTGGTTGGACATTTAGGTTTGGCAGTATTGCAAACAGACTTACCAGCCACAGTGGCAAAGCGTTTTGAAATTCAGCTGATCACAGGTTAGAGACAAGGCTGATTGCATTCTGTCTCCCTTCCACGGTTTGGATTTATCAATTTCGTTAAAATCAGCCTTGATGCCTCGTAAAAACACACACATCTTGGCTCTCCTTTCACCTGACAGTCCTAATATATGTGTTCACATAGTATAGTGACATCCAGCCTTTTAGAAATCGGAATGGACGGAAATGGTGGCTCTGGTGTTTTCCAGAATTGTCAGATCATAATTTAACCTAATGAGAGCTCAAGTCCCCCAGACACCCAGCCTCTATAAACCCAGGACCTCACGGAGACACTGCTGTGCTAAGGAAGAGCTACATGGCATGACTGAGCCTTAAGTTATTTGTAATTACATGACACAGTGTTCGGCAGTCAAGATAATCATCTGCCTAAAGAAAAGGGCTTTGAGCCAGTGGGGTCATACAGGCTTTTGGAAACATTGTTCTGACTTCTGGGATTCCTATGGCACCAGAGAACTTTGATCGGATTCAGTTAGCAAAAGTTATTTCTGGAGGCCTCACATCCGTATTAAAACATGGCACACAGGTTTTATTTGGGATGTCATTGGTGGTACCTGCAATGAATCATCTGGTAGCGGATATAGGGCAGGGTGAGCAGGGCGGTTGCCCCGGGCCCCGCGCTTCAAGAAGCCCCGCGCATGCGCCATGTCAAAGGGGGGGCCCCGCGAAATTGTGCTGCCCTGGGCCCCGCAAAATCCTCATCTGCCCCGTCTGTAGCATCTACTTTACACCCATTCCTTGCCCCAGCCACAAGCTGACCATGCAGAACATTTGGGGAATATGAAAATCTCAGTGGGTACAATCAAATTGTGTACATTCCAGTTCACAAAACTTACCAATTTCAGCTGGAAGATGCATTATAGCAGAGACCTGAGGTACAAATGCTCTAAAAAGGCAAAAGAAAGATGTGATCTCTCAAAGAAGTGGTAGCTGTCACACTGGGGTGACTCAGAAGAAGTTGAATCTCATTTCGTATTAACTAAGTTCTGGTACCTGCTCTGAAAAATGTCACCTTGCTGAATTTCTCTGCTAGCTCCTGGTGCATAAAATAACTGCACAGAAGATGGAGGCCGCTGTTAACTTAAGTGGTTAACTGATTCTATGAGCCCCTGTGAGGAAATTGTACATTAGTGTATAGAAAGGTGTTGCATGCCTGGGAGATCTCACTTTTTTCCTTACAGCCACACAAAGACTAAATGCATCCACTGGGATGCATTGGCAGGTTAGTATGTGCCCTCACTGCCCTCTGCTGGATGGAAAGTGTAATCAAGTGTTTTCGACACAGTTGCCCCCCTGCAAGAGACCTATGAAAATACTGTGGCACCTTAAAGAACAACAGATGTATTTGGGCACACGCTTTTGTGGGTAAAACTCACTTCATCAGATGCATTGGATGAAGTGAGTTTTACCTACAAAAGCCGATGCCCAAATTAATCTGTTATTCTTTAAGGTGCCACAGGACTCCTCATAATTTTGAAGATAGAGACTAACACAGCATCTTCAGAAGTCTCAGAGGGCTAGCTAACAGCCTTTAAACTGGTAACATGAGCTTTTGTGGGCACAGCCCACTTCTTCAGATGACCAGAGTGTTGGAAGTCCAACACTCCGGTCATCTGAAGAAGTGGGCTGTGCCCACAAAAGCTCATGTTACCAGTTTAAAGGCTGTTAGCTAGCCCTCTGAGACTTCTGAAGATGCTGTGTTAGTCTCTATCTTCAAAATTATGAGGAGTCCTGTGGCTTTATACTGAAAGCTCAAAAGGCCTCTCCTTAGCGCAGGGGTTAAGGAAGTCTTGTTTTCTGACCTCATGTGTGCTGGACCCTTCCGGATGGTGGGGTTAAGTCTACACTGCAATAAAACACCCACAGCGGACTCAAGTTCCCAGGACTTGAGCTACAGGGCTTGGGCTAGTGCCTGGACTCTGAGACCTGGTGGATCTACACTGCAATTGTATAGCCCCACAGCTACAGCCCAAGACAGCTGGCATGGGCCAGCTTCATGTTCATTATCACCGTTCAGACATACCCTGAGTTTCATGCTGCATGTTGGCATTGATGAGACCAGGGTCAGTCTTGGGGGTGGGCAACCCCTCCATCCCCAGAGCCAGCCAAGGCTCCTTTAGCCCCCAAGTGCTGGACTTGGAGCCAGGTAGGGGCAGCGTTGGGGGCTCCCCACCTGGGAACTCCTACCACGCACTGGACTCCAGTTGCTAGTCCTGTCTGGGTTGATGAGGGACAGGATTTCTTCCTCCCCTGCACAAGCTGTTCCTGCGGCTAGGTCAGATCCACCTCTGGGAACCTCCCCAAGTGGCAGAAAGCACTGCATGCCCTCTACCCCTGCATCAGGCACCCACCACTCCCAGGTCAGAGGGGAGGAGGAAAGGTCACTGTATAGACAGCTGCCCCTGTACTTACCCATTTTACCTAAGGCCAGGGCACCATTTTACCTAAGGCCAGCCCTGCATGAGACTCTACTGCTAAAACAATATTTCATTATAGCAAGAAACCTGCCTGAAAGCTTACCTCAGGTTGATACTGTATTGGGCCTTCTAAGCTTACAAAAGGCCTTGCGAGTGACACAAAAGATCCATCTCTCCAGAGCTATATTAAATATTTACACAAGGCCACTGTTAAATGAAGTCTCAAGGGGAGGGAGGAAAGACTGGAACTACAGTGACATTCAACTGCCCTTCTCCAGAGAACTGGACTCCTTGCCAGAGAGGCTACCACACCTCTTTAGGTGAAGGATTGATTATTTCCTTTTATATACCAGCAGTGTGCAGTAAGCCTCACTGAGAACAGCCAAGACTCTGCTCCTCTCCTCTGACTCTCAGGGCACATGGCCTCCAGCTGGGAATACACACTTGAAATACACAAAGACTCTGAGGCCACGATTCCACTTGTGGGAAGATCTACGCTGCGATGGTCAATATTCTGGCGTTCGATTTAGCGGGTCTATCAAAGACCCGCTAAATCAAATGCTGAGGGCACCCCCCCATCGGCACTTTTGCTCCTATTCCTCATGAGGAGTAAGGGATGTTGGTAGAAGCATTTCTCCCATCGACCTCCCCCTGGGAGGATGGTGCAGAAGCTCTGCTTGAGGTATGTCGATTCCAGCTATGTTTTTTACGTATCTGGAATTGCATACCTTAATCTGACCTCCTCCCCTGCATCAGGCACCCATCACTCCCCAGGTGGTGGGGGGGAGGGGGCGTGAGAGGAGGAAAGGTCACTGTACAGAGAGCTGCCCCTGCACTTGCCCAGGGCACCATTGCCCTGGGTCCATAGTGTGGACCTGGCCTGAGAAGACTGAAGAGCCAAATAAAAGTGCTTTGTACATGCAGTGAAGTACCACGAGAGTTAATCTGGAGTCACGTTCAGCTCCCAAATGTTTCACCTTTTCCGTAGCTCAGAGCTGTCTCTCAGCGTTGGCTCATTGGCTGACAGTAGCTTTTGGAGAACCATTCTAGCTTCCTTCCAAGCTTCATGGCCCAATCCCATGAAATCATTAAGGACGGGCTAAAACACAATATAAAAGGTAGAGATGTGAGAGAACAATTGTTTTTATCTCCACTTGCTGTACATGTGGGTATTTCTTTTGTTAACAGTACTGGGAAAAAATTGCTAATCTTGAAGTAAGAAGCAGCTCTATGTGCAGAGACCATGACTATCATGCTCATCCACAGGGCGTCATTGTTTCTTCGTGCTCCCTGTACCTGTCAGTTGACATGCACCCGTTGTCCTTTGACTCATACTAAAGATTGGCAACTCTTTGGAGAAGAGGCTAGGTTCCGGTACTGCACCTATCGCCCTTGGCCTCTGGTCTGAGAGGTGCTCTTGCAAACCAAGTACTAAATAAATCTAAGGATAATAAAATCATCATCCATCTGCATCAGTGGTGGGCAAGCAGTGGGTCCACAGGCCTCATGCAGGCCACTGGGGCTCCTCCTGTGGCCCATGAACCACCTGTTTCCCTCCCCCACATGCCTAGGTATTCCAGCTCTGGAAGGGAGGGGGAAAGAGGAGGGATGGAGGGAGCATGAAATCAGGTAATTTGTGCACTCTAGAAGTGCTCGGAGGGAGGGGGGAGATGTAGGAAGTGCAGGGCACCATGCCCCAGTGTGAGTGAGGCACATGGGGGAGAGTGAAGACAAAGGGGCCATGAGCTACAGGTGGAACCCTAATGGGCCACAGGTTGCTGTGGCCAACTAGGGATGTTACATTTAGTTTAATCAACTAATCGATGGAATTTCCATCCACTAGTCGATTCATGAGGGAGCTGCAGTGGGGTGAGTGGCTCTGCCTTTTAAATGTATTATGAGCTTGCAGGCTCTTAATACATTTAAAAGGCTGGTGCACAGCTGTAGGGACCCGGCTCGTGCTGGGCCCTCCCCGCTGCACCTCTGCTTTTTAAATGTATTAAGATCCTGCTGACTCTTAATACATTTAAAAAGCAGAGGGGAAGCATCTGAGACTGGGCATGAGCCAGGAATCAGCTGATTCCCAGCTTGCACCCGGTCCCCGCTACCCCTCTGCCTCCCCAGCCCTCTGCAGAGACAGTGCTGGGGGGAAACCGGCTTTTAAGCTGGCTCCCCCCCAGCACTGGTTCCTGCTCCCCACCCTTGCTGCCTCTAATAGAGGCAGCCGGGGGGTGGGAGAAGGGATTTAATTGAGGGACTAGCCGCTTACATCCCTACGGCCAACTGAGGTGAAGGGGGGTTCCTCATATGGCCCACTCCCTATTTTTCGCTTCCCATCCCTGACTTATATCTTCAAATACTATAGAAGCTTGCAATTGCAAGGCTAGTTGTGATGAGACAGAGACATTATTTGTTCACCCACATGCAGAGAGCCTACAAGATCCATGTATCGCTTAAATCCCACTTAATCCAACATGTTTCCTCATGGCAATTACTCCTCATGAAGATGCCAGAAATGAAGGCATGTAAGTGGGACTGGAGTGGTGTATAAACCTTGGTACTAGCCATCTGGCCTAGGAGGATTTCACTCTATAGTGCACTTCTTAATGATCAGGTGGGAGAAAACTTTAGGAGAGTCATTTATTTTACTGCTAGGTTTTAATTGCAGGCGCTCTTTGTAATGGCTTTATGCATCATCAGTGTAGGTTCCAATTCAGCAAAGGGCATCTCCCGCTACACCTGCCCATGATTTGCTGAATAAGGGGCATAGCTAAACCATATGACATGCTGCTTCTGTTGATTCAGGCCCGTGCATATGGGGGTGCGAAGGGTGCCAACACACCACTCATAGTCCCCCAAGTAAGCATTGTAGAAGCTGTAGAAACCATTTTAACGAAGCAGCGCGCTGCCCGAGCCTCCCTCCCCCATGCTCTGGTTGGCTGGGGAAAGGCTAGGGCTGATTCTCTCCCCCCCACCCCAGAAGCAAGGCCAGGGGAGGGGCTGGTCGGAGCACAGGGGAGGGAGGCTTGAGCAGCGCGCTGCTTCTGCCAGCCAGAGCACGCCTACTTGGGGGCCCATGGGTGGGGTGCATTCGCACACTTGTGGTTCACATTTACAAAAAACCACCCCCCCCCAAAGAAATTCCTGCATCTGGGCCTGTGATTGCTGCAGAATCATCTGAGCAGCCATGTGCACACAGTGCCAACCCAGCACCGTCTCACTGCAGTTTTAGTCCAGTGCAATTCCATTCAACAGAGTTACACGGACATAAACCTAACATACTACAACGGTGAATCAAACCCAATGCTCCCTCCCCCTTTTTGAGAGGGACAAACTAACAACTTGGGCACTCACATGTAAGTTACCACAATGCTCTGGTTCGAAGCCTGGATCACTAATGGCATTCCATTTAAAACACGCTGGAGGACATTGTCAAAAGGGTACGATAAATACCTGATCGAAGACATCCTGGTGTTTGGAAAGGACTGGTCCCGTGAACAGATGTTTAATAGCACTGAGATCCAACACCTGGTCTCCAATTGCTACCCCAATTCTGTGACGGGGCTGCTATGAGAAAAAAATGTTTATACGAATGGCCAATAATGCTCTTATGAAGGAGGTTCTGCGGAAAACCAATGGAGTACAGAGTTTAAGTGGTGCAGCAGTTGAGGAGATACATTGGTGATCATCTTACCTTAGATGTAATTAATGGACAAAGGCTATCGGTTTTAAAATTTAAGGAGAAGATGCACTCATTTTTTGGCAAACCCCTCACTATTTTTGGGGGGAAATGGAAGGACATCCTTCCACCCCAACCTGCCAGGAGTGGAGGAAAAGGAGGACATTTCCTTACCCCTGATGCTGATCTACCAGAGGTCCTCATCGTCCATACTCAACCCCCTCATCGCCATAGTATCAGAGTGCCTCACAATCTTTGAGGGGTTTAACCCCACTCACCATGAAGTAGGCAAGTGCTATTTTACAGATGACACACAGAGACACTACGTAATTGGCCAAGGTTACGCTGGAAGTTTGTGGTAGTGTGGAAAATGAATCAGAGTTAACCTAGTCCCTCATCACTGATCCATCCTTTCACCTGGGAAAGGAGAATGGCTGGTGTGGAAGGTTCCCTCCATGTGTGTATTTGCCTATCACTAAGAAATAGAAATTAAAAACAAACAAAAGCAAAAAACCTGTTTATTTGGGACCGATTTTATAGACCTACACAAACACCGTTCAGAACTTGCTCTGTCCTGGATACTTTTGCAGTGACACAAACTACACCCTCTGTATCACAGCTGTGCTAAAACCATAAAGATGTTTTGTCATTAAAACACAAACTCCAACTAGTAGAGAATTTAAATGAAATATAGCCATCACAACCAGTTTCATTCCAAACAAAAGCACAAATGTTCAATTTTGTCTCAAAAGACTAAAACCAGTACAGATTAAAACATAGCTGTTTTAAGCCTTTCTTCTTTGAACAAGGCCCCAAATCTGATTTGCACAAATATTATCCTAGGTGTTTATTGAGCAAGCACTCCTGCCAGAAAAATCTCAGGGCTAGACAAGTTAATTTGTAACCTGTTTCCCTGAATAACATCAGTTATTTTAACTGTGAGATTATAATGCTGTGAGAGGACATTAATTTTAATCAGTAAATGTTGGTAAACATCAATTTCACTGTTTATACAGGAAGAGACAAAATTTTTCATCAATATTAGAAATTTACTGACATGCAAAGTAAGAAAAATGCTGCTGAAGAGCTTATTAAATTTTGATTTAAGAATATTTACTGTGTATATTGACATCCAATATTGATAATTTGTTTTAATGGTTATAAACTTAAGATACAAACAGTTTAATATCTACTGTCCTAACCTAATTATATTTTACACTGAGATTATTTAATCAAATTTATCTTTCAGATACATCAATTCATATTGCTTACAATGAATATTCCACATTGCAACTAAGTTTAGTAGCAGATAAAATAAAAGTTAAAATGGGACTTCTCAGGAGAGGGAAGAAAGGAAGGGTTAAACTCAGCCATAAAGATAATAGAAAAAGGTGCTGGTAAAGAAGAGTGAAAGCTTAATACCACAAAGGGCCATAACGAAATATAATTGTTATACTGAAAAACAGAAAAAATATTAAGACCATATTACATGCATAGGAAGCACTCACAGGAAATGTTAACATTCTCTAAAGAAATAGCGCTCAGTATATTTGTTGAAACTTCCTAGTGCAATTAGCTAAACTGTAAGATTCCCAGACTCACAGGCCTTTTCCTGTAGCTGGTATTTGGAGTTCTCCACACAGCGTAACAAAACAAAGCCCCCCACAGAACTTCTCTCCTCCATTCATAGCCTTTGAACTTCAAAGACTCACCCACAACAGCAACAATCTTTGTCACACAAAGCCAAAGCAGCAGATAATTCACCTTTTCCTTGGTAGAAAAAATCCCATAGGGAAGGTTTTGAAGAGGGAAATCTGAGCTTTCTTCTATCTGGATGAAAGACATTTTGAGCTCAGGGCAAGTTGTGGTATACTGAATACACACTCCCACACAAGCACTCCAAGACAGCATTCACAAGTTGCATTAGACAGTGTGGTTCTGTTGGGCCCACCCTCTACTTCAGCCTCAAACCAACCAGAAGCCACTTTCCAGCCCACTCCCCTTAGCCCTGCTCCTGTCTGTAGTCTAGATGGTTAATGAATGCCAGAATTCTACATGACTCAGCAGCAAGGGCTTCTGCACCATTAACCATTTCTAGCTAAAGCCTGTAGGTGAGAATACTGTATGGTTACTGCAGGCAAGACTGTCCCCTTCCTGAATCCTTCATTACAGGGATGTGCGCCTGCTAGACTAGGAGCCAGTTAGCTCTCATCTGGAAGTGACACTTAGCTATGAAAGCGATAGTATCAAATGACCCAACAAGAACCTAGGCACAGCAGCTCATCTATCAGACAGTTTTCATTTGGAATTTGTACAGAAGTTCCACAAAAACCACATTTGACCATTTGACTCATTCCATCAGTCAATCTCCACCCGCTGAAGTGCGAATAGCTGCAAATAGTGGCAAAGGACAGAAAAGCACAACCTGACTGTCCCATGTCCTTCCCAACCCGCTGTGCTTCCTAGGCAATAAAACTGAACATCAACACCGCTGTTCTACACATGGACACAAGATTGCATGTGAAACTAGGACTTTTTAAAAGAAGGAAGAATGGTGTAGAATGGGGGGAAAGATACCTTTTCAATAAAGATTTTGACTCCCAGCTATCAAACCACAAAGTTGATTATTCCAAATTGATTTGGTGGGGGAGAGGATGAGATTAGTTCAATAAAGAACAATCGCATGGATTTATTTTGCTCTGCTCTTTAACATGGGAACTGTAGGACTAGACCGGGGTGAGCAAGATACGACCCACAGGCCATATGCAGCCTGCCAAGCCTTTTGATCCGGCCTGCATCCACTCTAGCAGTACGGAGCAGTACCAATCAAAGCAGTTGGTTGCTTTTTTGGCTCTCTATGCTGCAGGAACAGGGGGGAGAAGCTTCAGCAGGCTGCCCCATCCCTCCCCCCAGCAAAATCTCTCAGTTCCTGTCCCTATCCCGCCTCCCGTCAGCACAGAGAGCCATATGCACAGCCAGCCAGTGGATTAGGGATGTTAAATATTGGTTAATTGAATAGTCAAGTAACCTCATGAATTCTTATTGGGTAGTCGACTATTCTATAGTCCTCTGGGATCCCCTGTGTGGGGGGCGAAGGGGTCTGAGCTCCCAGACCAGCACGAGCTAGAACTGAGTCAGGCTGCGTGCCCACCTGGTTCCTAATACTTTAAATGAAGAGCAGCAATAGAGATAGGTCCAGGACCCAGTGCAAACCGGGACTGAGCTGGGCTGCTGGCCAGCCTGCTAAAAAATTTACCAGCAAGGGGTGGGAAATGCATGTAGTCTATAGCATTAACCAATAAGCTTTTGCTTATCAGTTAATTGTCTATACTATTACATCCCTAGTCTGCAGCTGCTGGCAGGTAAACCTGCCTGAAAGTGCTGTTGACCGGGAGCTGCTTAGGTGACTCTTGGCCAGAGCCTGACTCTGACACCCCAGCCCCTCCTCCCCAACTCCCTCCCAGACTCTGCACCCTTTCCTATGTCCTATCCCCCAGGCCAGAATCCTTCTCCTACATCCATACCCGCTCCTCGATCCAGCGTGCCAATCCCCCGCCCTAGGTCACAACTCCCCCCCCCCCGATCTTTCACCCCTTCCTGTACTCCTCCCCACACACCTCCTCCATGCCAGAATCTTCTCCTGCACTCATGCTCCCTGCCCTAGGGCATAACCCACTCCTTCACCCAAACTCCCTCTCAGACCCTACACGCTTTCCTGCACCCCAGCCTCCTATCCCAAGCGCTCTTCTGCATCCGATTTCAGTCCTAGACCTCGCAAGCCCTCCACAGAAAAGTGCAACCCTTGACCACTTACCAAAATTTTGGAATGCCCTCTCACCTGCATAAAAATTATTGCCCACCCCTGGACTAGACTCTCAATTAGTTTGTCTTCTGTGGTGCTGTGCTAGTTTACAGCAGCTGAAGCCTTGGCCCATGTAATTTTAGGAATGTTCTTTGCATAGAAAATTAGCTTTCAGTTATGTACTATGCTTAACTGCAGCAGTATCATTGTATCCTGTGATATCTGAATTCCTACATTATGCTAACCAGCATTTATTGCTAAGCATTTCCACAACTGATTTGATTTTATCCAGGCCCAAACCAAAAAAGTCATAGTTACAGCATTCAGCTTGAAGAATGTGTTTAACTGAAACACACTTAATACCCCTCCAGAATTTGGATTTCTGGTGGTATAACATTTAATGGTGCCACAGATGCTCTGGTATAAAGGGAATTAAATGCTCCTCTACTAGAATCAGGCAAAGCATCAATGGTCATACTGCTGTCATTAAAAGAGCCAAATCAATCTAGAGTGTGATGTGTTATTTCTATTTCAGTGCATTAATAGTAAATTGTGAAGGATGTTGTCCAGTGTTTTCCCATGTATACATTGAATAGTCTTGGAAAGCACTTAACTCCTAGAGCAATTTTTGTAAACCTGAAAGATGACGACAACATACCCTCATCAGCCAAGCTACAAAGACTTATTTAATTGGTTCAAGATAGATTTGCATGGACAAGGAATAGGATATGGTTGACTCTAATTTTTGTTAGTAACCCCAATCTAATTTTAGAATAGAAGCATTTTAAGTTCTAGTTCCCTGCTGTTCAAGGGTAGCGGCTCCCAACATAAAAGATAGGGGCATAATGGCTCCTGCTGTATGTTTTAAGTGCAAAACCAACTGGCAAAGGGAGCAACTGAGCTCCAAAGGCAGCTGTTTCCCTCCTCCTTGCTCAGGGATGTCAGCCTTACTCTGCTTCCCTCTCCTCCACAGAACAGACAGGTAGCAATTCCTTTTAAGCCAGCTTCTCTTTATGTATGTTGTGCCTGTTCTCTTGTCAGTCACTGCAGCAGCACAAACACACCCAATGATGGGTCACTGTGTTAAACATGTAGTAGGGATGGAAGAAGAGAAAGGAAGCTGTGGGGAAAAAGGAACAGAAAGAGGAATGAAGGGAAAGCTGATGGGGGGGGGGGGGGAGAAGAGATAATAAAGGTGAGGGGTCAAAAACTTGCAAAGGAAGATGCAGAAAAAAGAAAGGGAATTGGGCAGATTGGAATTGGGTGGAGGGTGAGTAAAAATGGCAAGCAAAAATAATCCAGGGAAATATGGCTATCATGCCATACCATTGCATGAAACAGATGCCATCATGTGTTGATACGTGGATGTGTTCACAAGCATAATAAATTATATTCTTTAACCCAAAAAGACTGGTGAAATATCTTGATTGAAAAACCTTGATTCATGTCCTCCCTTCTCATGTTCCAGAGTCAAGGAGTGCATGGTTCAAAGTCCATATCTGATTTTCAAAGTTAAACCTCTACAAAATGTTCCTTTAGGTGCAAAATGGTTTTCTCGGTCCTGAAGTTATAGATTACCATACAAAACACTGCAAAAAAGTGTCTTGCTACATCAGGTGGCATAGGAGGTACTTATACTTTAACTCAAATGTTCCGAATTTTAAAGAATGCATTCAACATTTAAAAATGTTAGTTGTCTTTAATCAAAGCTCAAACCCTGAATCCTGAGTAACTGCACACAAAATCTCACTTGTTCCACAAATATTTGAAAGTCGTTAAATCAGAAGATTCATCAAGCGAAATGCGAATGGAGGATCAGTTCCAGAGAGGAATTTGAGTCCTATTTCTACGTATGTATAAGTTTTGTAAAGAATCCAATATGGCGTGAGTGTACACGTGCAGTTACAAAAGTCACATGCACTATACAGCTATCGCATAGCCTTTAAACTGACATTGGTGATTAGGTGGGTGTGAACATCTGTACGTAAGGAGACTTTCCAAGACTTGTTAAGAAAGGCAGCTATGATTCACAGATCGGGTGAGAGAAGTTGATCCAGAAGCAACTAGGACCATTAAATGGAAACTAAATTTGAAACACAGCCTATGGGTTTTCTAATCTTTGTATAGTATAGATCATTTCTTAATGAAGTAGTTGTAGCAAAGGCCCGCCCTTCCAATCAGAAATACAAAAAAGCATATTTAAATAATCATAAATTAACAGCTACAGCAATTGTTTACAAGGAGAAATGACAATGTGTGTTTCACTACTTTGAACGCAATTTAGCAAACTGAAATTAAGAGATCATCCTGTGACTGCCTGGTTCTCCAAGCCAGAATTGGCTTCCACCAGCTGCAAAGTTGGGACCTCTGATACTATCAGTTTCAAGAAGCTAGATGAAAAACAAATTCACATGCATCCCTGTTGCCTTTTATGATTTTGTGATCACATTTGCCTATTTTAAAGGGCAATTTTATGTCATTGCAGAACACAAAACATGAATGGGGAAGGGGGGAGGGAAGGGAAAATCACTGACTACATACAAAGTGTTGTTCAATACCCAAGTTAAGAATGACAATGATTTTACCCCCTCCAGTCTTTCAATAGGTAGATGTTACTTATTCTCTGAATTTATTTTACCTACTGTAATAATTAGCTTAATTCCTATTCAGCTCTCGATAGCTGCTAATGGTATCAGGTGCGCTGAGACAAAATAAAGGGCTGAATAACAATCGGTGTAATAGATACCAGTGATCAACATAAAATAACCCAATTTTTTAAAATTTTATTTAATCAAAGTTAAGACCTGGATAAACATAAATACAGCACAGTTACTTCAGATCATTCTTCATGTGTGTACATACAGACTGATGAATGTAATCCCAGTGAAACCTTCAGTCAGCAATGAAGTGCATACTAGCCTACCCCGCCCCCACACACACACACACGAAAACAAAATCTATTTTTTTTAAAAACCACACAAACTTATAATCTCAGCACACACTCTCTCATTACAAATGATTCATACATAAATAGGTAGTGGGTGCAAACAAGCTAATATGCTAATATGTATAACCTTTTTTGTTAATGAAAACCAGAAGCAGCCATAATGATTAAAATACATTCAGTTACTGATAACTAGTTGTGCCATGAGGCATTACCAAAAAAGAAAATCGTGCTGCAGAGAATAGCTATACAAGAAAATAAACTGCAAAGTTAATGCATGCACGTTTTGTACTGGAAAAGCACAGCCCTCCCAGGTTCTCTCTGTGTTTGTTATAAAAGCCCTCTGCACTCAACTAAAATTAAAATGATCTTAAAGGATAATACTTGTAAAGTTTACTTAAGTCTTCAGCCACAAAAACTGCAATGAAAATAAATGTTGAGTCATTTTCAAAACAAACAAAAACAAAAATCTATTCTTCTGATGACATGCATGATTAAAAGGTCTAGGCAAGATACACTGCTCTACATTCCTGATGACTAAGGAAAAAGCTCAAGTCAATTTAATCTGCAGATAGTCAGGGGATTTTATATTCCAGCAGAATTAGCAGTGTTCAGATCTTCTGAATCTTTTCCCCAACAACTACAGGATTTTCTTTCCTGATTTTCTCAGCAGCATCAGCTTTGTAATTGTAAGAACAACTGTGTACATCTGAATAACGGTGCACACCACAGTAAATGTTTCCACATCGGCATTCAAACCCTGTGAACAGAAATATTGACCCATTAAGATCACTTCACTCTACTGGTTTGCTTTTTCAAATCCTAAATAAGACATTCTCATTTGGTATCAACTAATCTTGGTCAGTCAGTCAGTCAAAGGCACATTCTGCTTCTAAGATTGCTGTCATATAAAGCACAAAAGATATAATCTTTACATTCCCTCAAGACTTGCTGCAGATATTCATTTCCCAGTTACCACACAATGGAACGACGACTCAAGTGATTTTCAAATTAGAGACGTATGCGAGTAGTTGACTACCCAATAAGTCTAGGCTTATCCAGTAGTCGAGTCAACTATTCGTATTCCCCCACTCTTGCTGCTTCCGTCTCAGTTCAAGTAGTAAGCAGGGGAGAGGGGAGAAGGGAGCATGACCTGTGCTGGGGGGAGCCAGCTTAAAAGCCAGCTCTCCCCAGCACCATCTCTGCAGTGTCACCTGCCCCCCACCCTGCATGGGGGGCGGGAGGGGGGAGAGAGGGGCATCAGGGAAGGTTACCATGAAGCACCCTCCACCTATGGCAGGCCCAGGCTCACAGCGGGCACAGGCTACTCCGGCTACAGCACCTGTCTGTGGTGGGTCCCAGCTCCTCACTTGGACTCCCCCCCCCCACAGACATGGGCTGCTGGACCCAGCGTGGGCCAGGACTGAGCAAGTTCAGCTCAGTCTTGGCTCGTGCTGAGTCCAGGAGCTAGCTACTCTCACTGTGGCTCTGTAGTTTAAATGTAATAAGAGCTGGGCTGCCTGCCTGGCTCTCACTACCTTTAATCTGCCGAGCCACAGTGGGGGGGTAACTCCCATAGGCTTCCTCCCTTATCGACTAATTGTGTAGTTGATAGAAATTCTATTAACTACACGATTAGCTATTTACTCGCTTCCTAACATCCATATTTCAAATAAAGGTTGAACCTCTCTAATCTGGCACCCTTGGGACCTGACCAGTGCCAAACCAGAGAATTTGCTGGGCCATGGGAGGTCAATATTGCCAAAACTTCCACTGCTCATGGGGCTCTTAGAAGACATTTAGGGGGTAAATTAGAGCTAAACAACAACGAAGAATACTGAGAGTCAGGACTGGTGGCTGTAAACAAACTTTGTGGAACTGTGGGAAACTTGGCCACACCCATAATAAGTGGACATCTGTCTAACTAAAATCATGATGGACTATGGATGTTGCCAGACCAGAGGGTGCCAGATTGGAGAGGTTCAACCTGTACTTAAATTGAACCATAGCACTTCCTTACAAAGGCTGATTAATGAGCAGACTATTACATTTACCTCAACCCTCCCAGGCATTTGTAAAGAAGATAGTTTTGCTTAATAAATTAAACAGTTAAAAACAAGGACATATGAAAAGTCCTCTTTCAATACAGGTTGAATACACCTTAGGGCCAAGTTTTACTTCAAATACATCAGAGTCAACAGACTAATCCATATATGTATCTGAAGGCAGATTTTGGTCCTTTTGATATTACTTGCAGAACCTAGTCTTGGATTTAAGAAAGAAAATGAAATATTTCTTACCAGTAAGTCCCACCTTCTTCCGGCACATGAAACAACGATTCTTTTTCTGTTTTGGTTTGTCAAGTAACTTGTCTTGTTCTTCAGATGTAGAAACTGCACTCTCCGACACTAGAGCTAATATAAAAGAGAAACAGCACTGAGAAAAGAGTGGAAAAACTACAAGCAATTTATTCAAAACACAAGAGAAACGTGAAGCCTTGTTTGTAAATTCAGGCTCTGAGACTTGTAACCTTGTTGTAATCAATTTTTCCTTCCAGAATCTACAATCTAGTTATGTGTGGAACTCTTCTTTAGCATGTGTCTACAACACCCAACAACTGCACTTGAGATCCCTATTTCTAAATTTAGTTATCCAATATTACTCAGCCAGGAGAGAAGGCAGTTGACAGTGCTGAATGTTTTATACACAATTCAAAACTCTAGTCCTTCAGTAGTTTTTATAAGATAAAGACAGACCAAAGTTTAAATACATACACATTGTTCTCTATACATCTCAAAAAGTAAGATTTAAAAACAGACTTATGTTACCAAGTTTGGCAAAGTGCAAGTGTAAGATTAAAACAGTTCAATAAAATTATTACAATTAGCAATAGTCAAAGCTGATTCAAGTCAACTGAGAAGCACAGATAATTTACCAGAGTTCAGTTAAACACTTCTCCCTTCCACAATGCTGCCTCACAAATGCTATCATGCTGAGAATAACAATAGTAGATCAAACAACTTTTCATGTGTTGTCAGATTTATGCCACTGAGATGCAGCTTCTCTTTCCAGGTACTGGTGGTTAAAGTTAAGATATCCATTGCCAAAAAGAATGTAACCCTTAAATCTGAGGGAGAAAGAATTACCCAAAGTGAAATCTATATCTGTTTGGGAATGCAGAGATGTAATATTTCCTGGCTATTCTAATCTTCTCTCGCATCTAAAAATGAGAGCTGGGCTGCATGCGGGAGCATCAGAGTACAGAACATACAACTGAACAAGTTACTTGACCCAAGAAAAACATGAGTAACATTTTCTTTACCAGAAACTTAAACTGACAGTAAGGGTACTAATCTTGTTCTTAATGGGTCTGCAAGCAAGCTCTCTGCTAGGTCACTACAGGACAAGTTTACACTGTCTAGGATGTTGGAAAGTGAGCAAAAGAAATAGGTTTGCAGGGGGAGGGACAGAAGAACAACAGGAGGATGCAACTGAATGAGTTCCAGCGGAAACAGAGCTACCACAAAATGTTAAGGAAGGATCCAGCAGCAGACCTAAAAGTTTGTCTGCACCTTGGCTATTTTTTCAGACAACAGACACACAACAGTATGCTTACCAGACAGAATCTTTCAGATATATGGTAAAGTAGCACTTAACAGCTCTCTGCCAACATGACTATTATTACTAAAGGCTCACCTGGACAGTTCATGCTTTTTCACTGTCAATATTCTCTGAGGCTATGTCTACACTGGCCCCTTTTCCGAAAGGGGCATGTTAATTTCAGAGATCGTAATAGGGAAATCCACGGGGGATTTAAATAAAAATGTCCGCCGCTTTTTTCCGGCTTTTAGAAAAGCCGGAAAAGAGCGTCTACACTGGCCCCGATCTTCCGGAAAAAGCGCCCTTTTCCGGAGGATCTTATTCCTACTTCAAAGTACTTCAAAGTAGGAAAAGTAGCCTTCAAAGTAGGAATAAGAGCCTCTGGAAAAGGGCGCTTTTTCCGGAGGATCGGGGCCAGTGTAGACGCTCTTTTCCGGCTTTTCTAAAAGCCGGAAAAAAGCGGCAGACATTTTTATTTAAATGCCGTGGGGGATATTTAAATCCCCCGCGGATTTCCCTATTACGATCTCTGAAATTAACATGCCCCTTTCGGAAAAGGGGCCAATGTAGACGAGCCCTGAGTGTGTACTTAGTATGTATATATAACTTTGAAACTATCAATGATCCAACTAGTACATTCTTCATACAGTTGTTAACTAGAAGTCCACTTATATAGAGGGGCAATCTGACATTTTGAAAACTAAAACAATCAAAAAGTTAACAAGAGGCAGGAAAATAAGTTTGGATACCAAGACAGGAAAAATCAGGATGAAATTCTACAGTAAACAACTCCACTGATGTACTCAAAAAGACTTATGACACCGCATGACATGTGACAGCATGTACAATGGCACCATTGTACTTGTGTAATGAAGCAGACTGCAAAGACTGTTCTATCAGTTGCCACTGCAGAGAGGAAAAAGCATAGGATAGAGTAGTGTTAACTTTGGATACTTTTAAGTCTTCCCAGGTGATGTAATGCTGTTTTTGCAACATACAATGTGTGAAACTCCTAAACTTTACCATTGTTAAAGGACAGTGGTCATCTTATATTGGTTGACACAAGCCACTTAGAAGTCTGGCAGTTCCCTAAAAATTACAAGTTTGTGCTCCTAATTGAAATCATCTTCTTTTCCAATGATCAGTGTCAGGTTCTCTGCTTAAGGATTTTAGCACCACTCTAAATGGAACACACAAAATATTCATAACTATCAAGACATTAAGGTGCTTCCCTAACTGCTCCAGGTTGCCTTTTGCAATCTAAGTTCTCGTTTAAGCACTATATATGCAAAGTGAATATGAGCAGTTCTCCTACAGCTTTGATCCAAAGCCCTCTGGAATCTATGGAAATATTTCCATTGATTTAGATGTGCTTTCAGTCAGGCTAGTAGTAGGGATGTAAGCAACTAGTCGACTATCTGATAAGCAAAAACTTATCGGATAGTTGACTAGTCCCTCCCCCTTCTTGTTGTCTCTAGCAGGAGCTGGTGTTGGGGGGAGCCAGCTTAAAAGCTGGTTCCCCTCAGCACTATCTCCACAAGAGGTAGGGGAGTATCAGGGACCGGACAGGAGCCAGAAATCAGCTGATTTCCAGCTTGTGCCCAGTCCCATACACTGCACCTCTGCTTTTTAAATGTATTAAGAGCCAGTAAGCCTACTGGCTCTTAATACAATTAAAAAGCAGAGCTGCAGCAGGGTTAGCTCCTAGGCGGTAAGCTCCCCCTGCTTATCTACTAATCAACTAGTTGATGGAAAATTCATCGACTAGTCGATTAGCTGCTTAAAACTTAACATCCCTAGCCAGTAGATACTGTGAGCACCCCAGCCTTTATTTAAGCTATTCAGTATTGCATGCAAAGTGTGCCCTGTTATTAGTCTATTTTTATTTTAAATAATAGTCCAGCTCTAAAGTTTATTTGCCTATGGATTGGTCAGATCAAGATATGGGTCAACCATGGGCACCTTCCAGCAATCAGGCAATAGACAGACCTTTCATGCATTTTGCCAAATTCATTTTCATTAAGGTCAGTCATATTTTATGATGTTGCACAATGTATAGTGACTTAAATCAAAGAGCCTGTTTTTTTTGGTCTCAATCTTATGATGTTCTGGCCAGCAGGTCTACCATAAGATAAAGTGAACATTTAATTAAGAAGCTCTCAACCCTACCAGTTGTTGAAATCCACCTCACATCCTAAAAATCATGCAGATATTCCCATTAAGCAAGAAAAAAAGACAGACCAGCTCATAGCCATCCTATTCTGTGTATGCCCTTAAATGACCTTTACATTATAGTCAGAAGTCAAAGAACACTGAGAGTTAAGATACACAAGAATAAAAGGTATTACTGTGTTGCCTACCTTTTCCTTGATATGATTAGCCAGCATAATACAAACATGGATGTATAAAGGCAAAGCCACACAGACCTAATCAAGTTAGAGCCATCGGAAGGATTTGTAACCTGGCAATTTTACTTAGTTTGCCTGAACCTGTTACATGATATCTATACAAAGGCAAATAAGACTCCATGCATCTGTTTGCTAGTCTATTTGTTTCTACTTCTAGGAGAGTAAGTAAATGTGATTTGGCCAGTTTCTAATTTATATTTGCAGCAGCATGTAGAATATGGGTAGCCACATGCCATAGGGCAAAATAGATTGTAGCCATAATGCTATATGTAGCTACATGTGGTAGTGAAAGGCTCTGGCAGCAGGACAGTATATTTCTAAAAATAAAGTGTAGATGTAGGAGGCTCAGCTGGGGCATGTATAGACATATGCAGGGATCTCCTAGGGCAGGAGTGGGGAATCTTTTTTGGGTCAGGGGCCCCTGCCCCCCCCCCCCCCAAAAATCAAATCCGGCAGGGACCACACAAGTGAGAAGCAAAAAACAAAAACAAAACAAAAAGAACTCACTGATGTGGCCCCTGACTAAAGAGACAGACACTCCCCATGTTCCCCTTCCATACCACAGCCTAAGGGGGCCCAGCTTAGTAGATTGTGTGCTCCAGCTCCAAGTTCCCCAGTTTTTGGAACACCAGCACAGGTTACTGGAGGAGGGGGCGGGGAGGAGAGGGGGAGGAGGACCCTGAAACCTCAGGGGCTGGATCCATGCAAGCCAGGGGCCGCATCCAGCCCCCAGGCCTGAGGTTCCCCACCTGTGCCCTAGGGTTCTGGCATTTCTTTACTCGCATAAGCAGTGCTGTAGTGTCTATACCAGCAATGAGCAACCAAAAATAGAGTGTGATACACACAAGTGGCCCAAACTCAGTGGGCTGCAATAACCTGCAGCCCACTGGGATTCCACCTGCAACGCCCTGCCTGACCCTCACAGACCAGGGCACCAAACCCTGCACTTCCTATGCCGTCCCTCTCCCACCTAGCAACTTCAGAGCTGTTTGAGGCGTTCTAGCTCCAGGGAGGAAGGACTGGGGACAGAGCTTTAATCAGGTGATTTATGCACTCTGAAAGTGCTGGGAGGAAGGGGCAGGCACAGGAATTGCACGGCTCTATGCCCCAGAACCAGAGAAGTATGTGTGGGAGGGGAACAGACAGGGAAACTGCTGGCCAGCACATTGCCCACCACTAGTCTACACTGCTGTTTATACCTGTATTTGTTTGGTATACAAGGTCTGTTTGCTGCATACTGCCTTAAGTGTAGACCTATCCATTATAGCCGCTTTGTGTTGCGTTATACAGGCTAATATGAACCAATTTAGATACCCCTTCCCAAAAACCCACACATATTGGTGCCTATTTAACCTATATTAAATGACCAGTATTGAACGTACTCTAAAACAGTCTGAGGTATGTTT